CTCATCTTTGTGCAGCTCGTTGAATTCTTTATGACGTCCTATAATGCTTCTCATTTCTCAAGCCTTGTTTCTAAATTCTCAATAGTTCGCTTCCGGCCATCACGAGTTTGAGAGGGAGTGTGAAGTTGTGTATATTTTCCTTCCATTATTTATTTCCTTCCATTATTTCCTTGATCATGCAAGATGTATTATGATACTTTCTTTCTTTTTTATATGTCTTACAGGCAGTATAATGTAATTACCTTTCTATAGAAATATGGGATTTTCTACGAGAAATTGAATACAAGAAAAAAAAATATTTCTCACGATATGAAGCCTTTTCTCCAAAAAAACATGCTTTCCTGTTGCGTTGGATAACTCTAATTTGTGTCTCTTATCCATGCTGCAAACAGGAATTCACTCTGTCATGTCACCTTGGCTTTGAGTTGGGGACGACCTTCATATGATGTGCCTATTCTATTGTGAAAAGTTTATACACATTTGGAATGCATTGCTATATAGAGAACCATACTTGTGCTCATGAGCATGGGAGATATATAGTCATGAGGTTCACACCATCCCATCTAATGGTTCGGGCATTGACGTAAAGATGCGATACCTCTTTGCATGTTGTTGATGATCCCACCATCGCCATCCAACCTATTCGTTAAGCGGTGATGAACCTCATAACCACACATACCTTTTGTTCATGAGAATTATACCATGCGTACTTTACTGTTCTTTCTTTTTTTTTCCTGGATAATTAGTTGGTAACAATCGAACTTGAGATATAGTGTTGTTAACGTCAACTCCAACCTATTCAAGCCCAACCCCGATTGCATCTCTCAAAAAATTCAGATCATTTGTTCTTAAACTATTTTTAAAATCACTAAACTGCATCCATCAAGCTTAAGAGCCTTAGCTTCAAAATGTAATCTGGTCAGTCTTTGTACTGCATCACACTAGGAGAGCACCGTTTGAATTTCTTACCTCATTTTAAGGAGCGAATTATAAGTTTTACTTTTTGTGTGTTAAAAATCCAACAAAAAACTAATAACTAAGAACAAATATGATACCCATGCGCTCTAAAAATCACCAAACAACTTCCATCAAGCATAGGAGCCTTAGCTTCAAAATGTAATTTGGTCTGGCTTGTACTGCACCAGATTAGGAGAGCACCGTTGAAATTCCTACCTCATTTTAAGGAGCAAATTATTAGGGATACTTTTGTGTGATGAAAATCCAATAAAAAACTACGAACAAATACGATACCCATGCACTCTAATTTAATCGTTGCCCCTTCTCCATTTGTGGTTACAGCACTGAGGGGGATGCAGGTGGGGGCATCGGTGGTTCGGGAAAAAAAAAAAAATAGCATCCTGCCCGTCACTTCCACTGTTAACATGCCAAAAGGGCAAGAAAAAAAAAAAAAAAAAAGATAACATCCTGCGCTTCACTTCCACCATTAACATGTCAAAAGGGCAAAAAAAATACACCATTTTTTAGTTGCAGTAATAAGATTCCCATATGGTGTGACTAAATCAGTGGCTTGCCAATATTTACGGGCTCAATTTTGAGGATTGGATTTTATTGGCAAAGGGTCATCAATATGGTTTAGCTAAGAGAGATAAAAGAAAAGAGAAAAAGAAAAATATCAAATAAAGGGACAAATTACCTCACAAAGTCATTAAAAGTGCTAAATCTTATTTAAAATTCGGAGTATTGCTTTATAAGTTTCTTGGGTATTTCTTTAAAAGTTATAGTAAAAAATACCAAATTGATCGTGTTCAAGATTGAGGACACTGAACAAATAAGGTTGCCTGCCTCTTAGAGTAGCCATTATAACTCTTTAGCTCTAGCCAAAGAGTTGTAAAATACCCTGCTTGTCATGGCAGCACGCTTTTATACTTATGTGGGTTGCAATTTGGATTCCTGCCGTAACTTAAGGTTTTTATGCCCCAGCGTTCTACAGAAGAAAGATCTCAATCCAACACAGATGTTGGGGGTCCAGATTGATCTACTTTGTCAATTAATAAGTAGGTTGCCTACTTAACGAAACCGAGGTACGTTGTAAATTGGGCGGTTTTGGCTTTCTCTACCTTTGTCGATTGACCGGCATAGTGTGAGGATCGACCAAATCGAAGCAATGATAGGCATACGGCTCCATTAAGGGTTTCTCTTTCAAGTTTCGTTTATTGGTAAGCCCACTTGAATGGCACGAGCAAATGACAAATGCCACTGGTTATTCAGAGTAAGCAATATGAAACAAAGGCTTTACAATGCCAAAAAGAGAGTTTTGTGCAGCTAGCTACCCTTGAACAACTAGTGATGTTTTCGTTACTTGGCAATTTTATATTGCTAGCTTGGAACAGTCAGGGGTATTTTTTTTTTATCAGTTAACTCGAGCAACTTAAGTTGGTCTAAATTACTAAAACACTATTACTTGTTTAAATATCTCAATCCTAAATAGGGTAATTTGGTTATTTTTACTATATTTTTAAAAGAAGTACATTGAATGAATTGAAACATAAAAGTGTGAAACAAGATGATTTGATATCTTTAATGACAATACTTTGATTTTGTAGTAAAGACCCTTTAATTGGTATTTTTCCAAATATTTTTTACCTCTATATCCAAAAATAGCAGACCTTGCTTTTGGTTGTTATGGTGATTATAATCAATATAAGTGTGCCTCCTTTTATAATTCCCACAAAGGAGGAGGTGAGGTGAGGATAAGGCTGGCACACGGCAACCTAGATATCCAATCGGGGCCTACCAGTAATATCTAGGCCGTAAAACTTGCGTTGTTTATTCTCACAACATAAGTTTGCATTCATTAAGAGCTCGTTAGGATCACGTTATCCCACAAAAAAAAAAACATGTTTGGTATTTTTGAAGTGGCCTAGCCGTGTTTTGTGTACCCACAAAGACACGCCAAAATACGGTTTGGCAAAGTCATGAACAAAAACGGTTTTGTTTATGCGTCCCGTCTCTTTCGCGCATGGCCAACTAGAGACCGAAAAAATTTTGTTTGGGAAGAGTTTTGCCCAATTATAAGTGACGTTTTTATGTGAGAGACACATGTATACTCTAGTATAAGAAATAACTCAATACGAGAAAAAATGTGCACTATAAGAGAGAACTGTAAGAGGGAGAATCACACACATGTATCCCCATTTTGAGTGAGGAAGTAGAGAGAGAATTTTGGCATACAATTAGGGAAGAGCTATAAATTTTTATAAAGAATGGGAGGAGAGAGATCTTAAAATATTTTAGAGAGAGATACCAAAAAAATTTGATAAGAGAAACCATCTCAAACGTTTAAGTTTTTGAGAGAGAAAATATCTTCAATTTTAGAAATAGAAAGTATATCAAATTTTCGAGAGAGAGACTCTACAAATTTTAGGGAAAGAAACCATCTCAAAATTTTTAGGGAGAGAAAATATCTTAAATTTCAAGTTTTAGAGAGAGAAAGTATCTTAAAATTTTAGAGAGAGTAATTATATCAAATTTTAGAGAGAGAAACTACCTAAAATTTTCTAGAGAGAAACTATCTTAAAATTTTTAGAGATAAAAACTATCTCAATTTTTAAGTTTTAGATAGTCAAACTATATTAAAATTTAGAGAGAGAAACATCCCAAAACATTTTAGAGATAACTACCTCAAAATTTTAGAGATACAAATTATATCAAATTTTAAGTTTTAGAGAAAGTATCTTAAAACTTTAGTGAGTGAAACTATATCAAATTTGACAGGGGGAACTTACTTAAAAAAATTTCTATATCAAATTTAAAGTTTTAGATGGTTTTTCTCTCTAAAAATGTTGAGATGGTTTCTCTCTCTAAAATTTTTTACGTAATTTCTCTCCCTAAAATTTTGGTAAATTTTTTTACAATGGGAAAAAAAAAATTATATGTATTTGTTGCTTACCGAATATGTGTAACATAATTTTCACATGAAAATATCTTGCACGAAAATGTTTTCCTAACTACCAAATGTGTCTTAAATAATGTAATCCCAGGTTATACAAATATATGACCCATACAAAGGATTTGCATTACCTGGGTATTATCTACAAGCTATTCAAACAGTTATTTCTCAATATCCAGATATAACCAAGGTTTGTATAACAATGTTCTGATCCAAACATGATTTTGTTTACCATGCGATCTAGACGAGCCCTAACAAGTAGCAAGATTCTCAGATGCATACAAGTAAGTAAAATGACACAAGTACCCATTGTAAGACATAATATTAGAAGGGCAAGCATTATATGCCTCCCTTATTGCATAAAACTTGTATGTTTCTCTCTATCCAACCATTCAGTCTAAATGGACGGCTAAGATAGCACCAATCACAATGTCACATCTCTACAGTGTTTTATTTTTAAAAAAAAAATTTGACAAACTATCTTGACACCAAATTTTAGCTATCCACTCCTCTCTTAAAGTCGCACCTGTAAAAAATATAAAACAAATATCTCAATAAAATAAAATGACTAAAATACCTCTAAAATTGTCAAGGGGTGTTTTGGTCACTATATCTTATCAAGCAATTATTTTTAATATGTTTTTTAGATAGATCCCATTGAGATGATGTCACGAACCAAATTTCATATTCATATAATTTATAAATACTCTAAGGCATCGGATCTTTAGATCAAACGATCAATGACTCACTTGATCTAAATTGGACGGCTAGGGGAGCATGCATCTTCTATACAGTCGGAGAAGTATATAAACATCTCCCATATTTTTGGAATTCTCAAATAAACTATACATTTTGATAGTATATTTGGAGGTAACATCTATTTTGGGTAATTCAGTAGGGAAGACATACCCTATCCTTTTTTTCAATAGATTGGAGAGTTACATTTTGAAGATGTTAATTGGAGGTGTCAGATATACAGAATAGGGAAATGGGGTTGGAGCATCGATGGTTGGGGGGCATGCCTCAACATAACGTTCAGCCTCCATTTCCATCCTCAACGTACCAAAAACAAGAAGAGAAAGACATCATATGGAAAATATAGAACAATCTCTCCTTTATTTAGATCAAGTAATACACATTTGAGTTTAACATTTCCGGGTTTTCTAGACCATACATCAAATTTCCAAGCCACCAACCTTTAACATCTGCATACTATGACGCTGAGACCAGAAAAAGGATATCTGAAGGATTACTTTAAATAAATTGGCTTCATGAACATGACTCGTTCGATACTACTCAAGAGAAGATAAAGAAAATTCCGTTAATTCAAATTGCTATAAGAACTCTTACTTGTCTCAAGGCTTAGCAACTCAAGAACTCTTCCCACATGGATTTTAATGTTTTCTGAAGTTCCTCCATCGCAACCTTATTGCCATTCAACATTTGATCCTGCAACATAATCAACCAATTTCAAAAGGAATAAAAAAATTTAACCCAATACCTAAAACATGCCGAAAGGAAGCACCAAAAAAAAAAGGAACCGAATAAAAAAAACACACACATACACAATCAAAGTAGAATGGTTAACTAGAAATTTTCAACAAAAATCATTCCAAAACACTCGGACACACTCATGCACACAATCTCTTAAGCATGTGGAAGAGGGTTTCTGGTTGGCAGATGTCATCCTCAATGATTCCACATGCTTCAAGAGATTGTGTGCGTGAGTGTGTCTTGAGTGTTTTGGAATGATTTTTGTTGAAAGAAAGTTCACAAAATTTTCTTCCATGCATATTGATTTTCTTATATGCATGTTGGTTACAAAAAAAAAAGGATTTCATGATGTTTCCACAAAAGCTTCTGATGTATAAATCTTGGAAATAAATATACTCATGAGGACAATACAAGGTAACATGTTCATGTCTAGACAACGGAACAACTATTTTCCAATAGAACCCAATAAGTCGAACAAAATTATGCAAAACACTAAATATCATTCATCAATAAAAGAAAAGGAGGACCACTCACCATCAAGAGTCTGGTTATTTCTTGCATTTTGAGACTGACTTCCCAAGAGACTTCGCCAGACGAGTTATGGAAGTCATATCGATCTGCATGTCTCAGCTTGAGCTTCATTGTTGATCCCTGAAAGTACTTTGATTCTGTATGCCATACGCCTTGAATAGAGAATCTATCTCCAGTGCCCTCTTTCTTTAGAGGCCACCTCAGTTTTCCCTTTACATTGGGATCAATAACTGCAGAGTTCACCAGTCTATATATGCCAGATTTTTCCTCCTCCTGAAACCATACATTTATACGAATATAAATGAGCAAAGTTCAAGCTCCATGGATCATTTCCCCACTCTGCATTTGTTCAGTAAAACTCACAGTCAGTTCGGTCAAAATTTTCTTGGACACCAAAATCAACCGAAGGTCCACATTCTTACTAAGGCATGATATGTCAACCACCAAGTGTCGTACCAGGTTCGTCTCGATCTGTAAAATGCAGAGGCAAGTGAGAAGCTCAAACTTCATCTCACATTTCTTTTGAGGATATGATGCTTCATATAATAAATGAACATGCATTTCACATAATAAGAGTTGAGATCCAGTTTCAATATATCAAACTTCACTTTGCTGGCTTAAAGTATTCAGATTCCACTTACATTACAAGATCATGACCTCTACCATCAACTACTATATATTGGTAGTAATTTCTAGCAGAGTCAGTATGGGTTCGATAGGTTGGTGATTATTTGGAGTAAGTGCAGAATTTCTGAGAAAACATTCATGTGTGGCACCAAGTATATTCATATTAGGTGGCAGGTACTTCACCTTCTGTAGTTCAAGCCCAATGCCATTGATTCTTTTAATACATTTACATGTAAGATTCACATCAAATTGCATTTTGTCATTTATCTGCAAGATAACATTGGTGCAAATGAGCTATAAGAAGAAGACATCAATTAACAACATTTGATGTTAAAAGCTCAAATTTCTTAAAAACAGCGTCAAGAGAGAGCCATTAAGCCAGATCAGAACCTTCAAATAGTATTTCTCCTTATTTGTATCATATTGCAGTCCCAGCTTTGGAACGGCCTGACATTCAATTGATTTCACATATTCTTCAGGAACATTTGTATAAAATGTCTTATGAACTCGATTGGTATATCTAGCTTCACCCTCACCTTCTAAACTCTTTCTGATTGTGTCCAGGCTAATGGAATTGTTCCAACTTGAAGGGCTGCATTTGCATCAAATGAAGAACAAAACATCAAACAGATAATACATTGATATCCATACATTACGCTTTGAAAGTCAATGCCACTGCAAATTTTTGCAATTTGATAGTTCAAAGCATATTGGAGACAATTTGATTATTCACAGCCTGCCTCACTCTGATACTGCTCTGATGGAGGATCACATATGGGGAACAATAAGTGTGCACGAAATTAAAAAGGAAAAGCATAGAATGAGACTCAAGGTGATCACAATTAATCTTGAATATTAGATGTGAATTAAGGTGACTGCATTTATTCCATTGATCAAGTGCAAACTTCAACAAAAAAAATTTTGAGCTTTGTGATACACCCAAGCTATCAAATTTCACATCGGATGGTTGTAAGTAATTGTGACCATCTTGTATCAAAGATAAATGGTCTCATTGTATATAATCCGAATAAAAAAAACACATATGTAAATCCCCATCATTTTAATGGGATCACAAAAAACTATGATTCTATGACTATTTTCTTACTAGCTTTTATCAGAAACTGCATGCAAATAGTCCTCCAAAAAAAACGGGATTATAAATGAATCTGTTTGTTTGAGAATAAATTATAAATGAATCTGTTTTTGTAAATTATGGACCTTGATATATTTCAACATCTAAAATTCATAGATATTAACATCATGCTTATAACAGCATGCACAATTTGTTGAAAACTTAAAACCCAGGTCACAAAAATGAACTCAGCATGCGCATCTCTTGGGAAAAGTAAGCATAAAAAATCTTTGTGCTAGAAAATATGTATTTAGCTTTAAGAACATGTTATGTTACCAAAAATTTCAGAACTTCAGTACACAAATAATTTGCGTTTAGGACCCTAATACAATACAACTTCCTGGCTTCAAAAATTGATCAAGGACTTGAAAAAAATTAGTTATAGAGAAACAATAATAGAATACAAATGCAAAAATTTTACTCTCATTCAATAATCTCATGCAAGTAAATCTTGTCCTTTTATTTTCGTCCCTCTCTTCTGGTTCGCCCAACAGAGGTGGAAGTGGAATAGGATCAGTAGTGTATGAGAGCTATCTTTCATTCGATGGATCAGTAAAAGATGGAGATACAAATACAATTCAGGAATAGCTTCAGAACTGGAACATATTTAGATATAAAAAATGTTTCCTTCTCTGAATACAACCAAGTTATCAGCGAATGGGCACAGTCCATAACAATTGTTATAACAAACAATCCTGCATGGACCACTGATAGATTTTCGATTATATTGCGGGCACACTGCAAGGTGATGTTTTACAGTTCCTTCGAAAGTGGGAGGAATCACTAAAAGGAAAACTTATCGATAAGAAAAAAGCAGATCTTTTGAAAGAAGTAACAAAACTTCTAAGAGAAGAATTTTGTGGCACTGCTTATGATCTGAATCTAAAAAAAGACTCAGATTATTCACTCACAAAGCTAAAACTTTGCAAAATTCAAAGTTTTGAACCCTTTGCCAAAGAATTTCAAAAATGGTACCAAATGTTAGATGAAAACAAATCTGATTAATGGAAGAAACAGTTTTTCAACAAAGTACTTTTTCCATGGGATGAAATTTGCATTGAAAAATATGACAAGTATGTTACTGATAACACATCAGTAGATACTCTTGGAAATAGGATCAGATTTGTGTTCTCTATAATAAAAAATCATTGCATCGAAGTAAAAGCAGTCAAGCAATTCAAAAAAGGACTTAGCTTAGACGACTGCTCCAAACTTCTAAAAAACAATTTAGAATTTGGGTGTGATGCAAAAGGAAAGAAAAAGAAATTTTTCAAAAAGAAAAAATTTCGTTGGAAAAAGTGGAAAGAGGATAAGAAATTCAACAAGAAGAAACGGTATGTTGTTAGAAAAAATAACAGCAAACCATAGAAATCATGTCGTTGCTACATCTGCAACGAAGAAGGTCCCATAGAACCTAATTGTCCCCAAAAAGGGAAAAATACCAAAAAGATGATCAAAATGCTTGATGAAAACAATTTTAAAATCTGCATTGGAGATGAAATCTCCAAAGATGAAATTGAATTTGAAGAAATTTCTGAATCTAACAATGAGTCAGAGGAAGAAGAAGAATATGTTTTCATGATGCATGAAGAAGAAAACTCAAAAAACACCTCTGAGATTTCTGAACAAGTTGTAAAACTCGGTGAAGTGATTCAAGAAGAATTCTTCATCGACGAAGAAAAACTTGAGAAATTGAAAAATCTCAATAAGGAAGAAGTCTACAGGATGTCGAAATTCCAATTCTAGAATATCAGATATTTTGATCGCTTCAATGGAAACACCGCTGCAAGTGAAAATGGATCTGTAGAAATTCCTATTTTTGATAAAAGCAAGATTTCCAAAATGATCAAAAAATTTCCAAGACTGAGATACATGCATATAGGCATCATTTTTATTGAAATCACTGCACTTTTCAGACAGGGAATTGACACACCAATCATTGTCGTTGTTTTAGACAAAAGATTCAATGACCCTATTAAAGCAATAATAGGAGGCTTTCAATCTAATCTTGTCACTGGAAAAATTTGGTTTAAAATAAAACCAAATTATTTCATTTCTATCCATGATAAAACATCCAGGATAGTGTGAGAATTTTGATTCAAACCAAAAACATTGGTATGAAGAACAACAGTTTCGACCTTGTAATAGAGTGGAAAGCCATCCATGAACTTACAAGCGAAACTAAAACTTCAACAAACAATCTTGACAATAGATTTGTTGAAATTTTCGAACCACGAAATTTTGATAATGATATCCAACCCCGGTTAATCAACCGGAAGGATTTGGAAATTCCCAGAAATTGGTTGGTTGACAATTTTCCTGAAGAAAATTACAACCAAGATTTACAACTAGTAACTTTTCAAGCATCTGGGAAAAACATTTATTTTTCTAACCAGAGAACTTTAACCAAAAGTTTGAGTCAATCAGTACCAAATAGTCCTGCACCACGATTTTCTAAACCAATACCAAAAGATTTATCTTTATACAGAAAAACAATTGGTTTCAAAAACATCTCAATACGAATTTTTCCTGGACTGTAAAGCACTTTTGAAACTGGAAACACCAGTAATACAAAAGATGATAAAAAAGAAGAACTTCAGAACACTGTTTTGTTTTCAAAAATCGAATTTCAAGACCGAGAAGAAATAATCTTCTCTCATAACCAAAATAGGAAAAAATATTTGTTTGTTTGGGTGAATTTAATTTTCAAGGTATAAACCATATCACCTTGATATTCTGGTTGACACTAGAGCTACCACATGCACCTGTTGCCCAACGGCATTACCGTTAGAAAACTGGGAATGAATGAAAAGCCCATTACATGCAACCGGCATCGATGGGAACAATGCTCTTATTGAGTATAAAGCTAAAAACATTATTATCTGGCTGGGAAATAAAAAAAATTGCATCTCGAAGATACTCTGTTTTCCATATATGCATGGAGATTTTATTTTGGGAAACAACTTTTTGCAAAATCATTACCCAATTGAAATCTTCTAAGACAAAATAACTTTAACCCAAAAAGGGGAAAAAGTTGATATACCTAAACTTATAGAACATAAGTATAGATGTCAGTTTGGATTCTCACCTCAAAAGCGGGGAGAAACCATGCAAAAAATTCAAAAATAAAAAATAACCTTTTTAAAGAGTTAGATGATACCCATTGGATTTACAAAATGCTTGAACTAAATTTCTCTAAAAACCCTTTGAAATTATGGTCCAAAAGTCCAAGATATTGTAGCCTCAAACTTTCCGATCCAAACAGGATCATAAGAGTAAAACCCATGGCCTATCTGAAAAAGGATATAGACGAGTTTGCTATTCAGTTAAAAGAACTACTAGAAAAAGACTTTATCGAACCAACAACAAGTACTCATTCTCGTCTTGCATTCATGGCAAGAAACCATAATGAGGAAAAAAGAGGAAAAGCCAGGATGATAATCAATATCAACGGCTTAACCAAAACATTGAGTTTGATGAATATTTTATACCCAGAAAGGATGTATTAATGCATCAAACCAAAGGAGCAAAATATTTCAGTAAATTTGACTGCAAGTTAGGATTCTGGCAAATCATGCTAACAGAAGAATCCAGACCACTAACTGCTTTCATTGCTCCATACAGCCATTACCAATGGAAAGTAATGTCATTCGAACTCTGCAATGCACTGCAAATATTTCAGAGATGAATGGATGGTATTTTTTCTGATTTAAAAGATTTATGTGATGTATACATAGATGACATTTCAGTGTTTTCTAACACCATAGAGGAACACCAAAATCATCTCAAAATGGAGATTGAGAAAACCTCAATCGAATTTCTAGGCATCGTCTTAAGACCAAACAGGTATAAGACTTTAGGAACATATCATTTCTAAAATTAGGAATTTTCCAAATGAGCTTGTAGACAAAAAACATCTGCAAAGCTTTTTAGGCATCCTTAACTATAGAAGAAATTTTATTCTAAACCTCTCTTAAAAGGAGAGACCTCTTTTAAAAAAATTGAAAAAAGGATAAAGAATTCTCTTGAAATACGAATGACACAAACACTGTCAAACGTATTAAAGAAGAATTGAAAAATATTCCTTGAATTTATTTTCCTAAACAAGGAAATAAACTAATCCTTGAGACCGACGCCTCAGATGAAAATTGGGAAGCCGTCTTAAAGGTTGATATTGAAGGAAAAAAATTTGTATGTGGACATAATTCTGGTAAGTTTAAACCAAACTAACGGAATTACATGATCTACGAAAAAGAATTACTGACAATTATACATGGAGTAAAAAGCTTTTACATATACCATGCGCCAGAAAATTTTGTTATCAAAACAGATAACAAAGTTGTCCAAAACTTTCTGTCCAATAAAAAGCGAGAGGAAAACCCTCGATGCATAAGATGGATGAACCTTTTACAGATGTACACCTTCACCGTTGAGTTCATCAAAAGTTCTAACAATGTACT